AAGGAGTCAACACATAATGAATAGAAAGTCTCATTTCCCTATTCACATACTGCTTCTGCATGAAAGTGCTCTGCTAGTTGTTTCCAAAGCATTTCTCGGCCCACGTCTTCAATTCATTTTTCCTCATCTCTCCATCCATCCGTTTTCAATACCCGCTCATTCCTGTTCAGGGTTGTGGGAGGCTGTGGTGTGTCATTTCTGGTGTGAAGTGTTGCTATTTGAGATGCAAGCGGGATTGCAAAGAAATGTGACATTCAAGTACCGTCTCACCTCATATCCATCCATCTAGCATATACAGACCCAGCCGGTGTTTTTCACAGGTATTTAACCATTGCTTTGCCCTCTCTTTACCCTCTAGCTCATCAGCAGGTGTTGTTGCATTGCAGGGTAACCAGGAAGTAGCATGATAAGAGGTGCAGACCTGCTATAATGATGCAGCAATGAGGTTTAATGGGGCTGAAAACACGGGCTGACTGGCTGGCAGGCAGGCTACACAGTCAGGGAGAGGCACAGTTGGTGTGAAGCTGTTTCCAGCTCATGACAGATGTTACAGTGAGAGAGAGAGAACGAGAGAGACAAAGACACAGAGAGACAAAGATACAGAGGGAGAGAGGGGACGGAGAGAGGGGACGGAGAGAGAGGTGAGTCATTTGCAACATGCAGAGTGAGAGATCACTGAGAAGTAACTTTGTGGAAACGACAACTTTGAGCAAAGTCAAGCAGAGTTCATTCGCATGTGGGTGCTCCAAAGCTCTCTACTTCATATCCCAGAAGTACTTGTGCAAATAAAGGGTTTTACAGCCAACTGTGTCTAGAGATGGTGTAGTGAAGTGCAATGTGATTTCAATAACCCACCACGATGCCCCTGTTGATTTTATACCCATCTCACTCTTGATTTCCCTGGATTGAGACAATATAAATGATACAAAGAAAACTAAGGCATTTCAGGCAGGCACAGACATGCATTATAAGCAGCAACTGGAGGAGTGGAGGAGAGGTTATGGCTTCCCTCTTGTTCGTACAAAACTGAATTCATTCCCCTGTTAACTGCACAGAAAATGCGTACAAACAAACAAAACAGCTGACCCACTTTTTGCTGAAACTAGGAGAACCAATGTGAGATTTTGTTTTAAGACATATTGTCTTTGGATGAAATTAGCTTGTAACCACATTGACCAGAGGGATAGGAAATTGTCTGTTTTACCATTTAATCTTTTTATAGCTTGCAAGCAGGGAGAATAGGATTCGATCAGTGTTGCCTCCATAGACAGAGGAAATTATGTTACACACAGAGTAACTTTTAGAAAATTTTAATAATTTGTGTCTATATATGCAAGTTATTAATGATTATGACAATGTCCACAGCCACAATAAGAGTTTAAAGCACATAGCCTCAGGTGTGCTCTGGAGCTAATTTGTTTGAATGACTGACACTTG